AACGATAGTAAATCTAATTTGTATAACGATAACACTAAATTCAGAAAATCATCTTAAACTTACAATTTAAAAAAGATTCATGCATAAATTCTAATCTTGTTTTTCTTGTTAGCACTAATTTTGGTGCAATCTTCAGCCTCAAACCAGTTGAGGATATAATGGACTATTTACATATAACCGTATTAAAATTTATTATTATGGTCTGTTTTATCTGCAGTGATACATTTGACAAACACACACACGATCTAAATAAAGTTTTGATTGTTACAAGAAATGCTGGGTAAATGACTTATAAAAGAAATGTTTGTTGAAAGTTTCAAAACGTTAATTAATACATATTCTTAACAATAAAATGAGCAAAACTGCAACAAAATCGGTTACTGATGCAGCAAAAGAATTTAATAATGAATATGGTAGAGGTACAGCCTATATGGCTGGAAAATTTATTGATGCCGTAGCTCCGTATATACCATTATTCGATGCCGCAACGAAATTAATTAAAGAAATTATTGATCTTCATGATTCGGCTCAATATAACAAAAATACATGTGCCAGGTTAATGGAACGTGTGATTGATGCCAATGGAGCGATTGAAAAATTAAAACGAACAAAAAAAATTAACGAAAAAAAATTTAATGATCAAAATTTTTACAATACTTTTCAAAGATTTACGAATATCTTGATAAAGATTAAGGCATTCGAGGAAGAATTGTCAAAAATGGGAAATTTTAGAAAAACGTTTGAAGCAAGTATGATAAAAGAAAAATTTATATCTTTAACAGGAGAATTTGATTCAACAATGAAAGATTTGAACTTCAGCATGATGATTGACAATGAAGAACAGAGAAAAAAAGATTTTGAAAGTTTGGAAGAAGACCATGACGAAATAAAAAAGGTTATTATATAAAAAAATAAATTCGTATAAAGATTAATAAATAAGAAATATTACTAATATTTATAATCTAATATTAACTATGATATATATCAATAGCTTCTTATTTATACTAGAGATGCTGTCATGTCAAAGGTTGAGGCAGTTGCCCAAGAAGTTCAAGTAATGAGGTTACAACTTGAAGAAAAGCCTGAAAATCATCATCATGACCATTCAGGCGATAAATCAGTTTATAAAGTTTATAAACCGGAACAAATAAGCAGTGAACAATTACAATATTGCCGCTCGTCCTTAACGGGTTATAATGCGAAAAGATTCAAGAGAATGTATAAACGAGTCATTGAAGTTGAATGTAAATCTATAAATCTTAACGACAAAGCAACAGTCCAAACGTATCTAGCAATGATAGGAAAATTAGGAACATGCCCATACATTCTCAAGTTTTATGGGTTAGCTAAAGAAGAAGGAAAAGATCTTCAAGTTTTGGAATGGACAGAATTAGGATCTTTGAAAGATTTTTCTGGGTTTCTAATTAAGAAAGTATGTTTAAATTTTGTGAGAATTTCCTTGGATTGTAACGGATTTCCTTC